ATCTCTCCTAGCTTTATTATGTTTTTCTCCGCTCGCAGAAGCGCTGCAGGTGCATGATGTGATATGATGACCAGGTGAATCCTCATGTTCCATTGTTTGTTGCTTTTTGCACATGTAAAATTAATCCCCCGGAAACAAATGTTAGTATTTTTAACGGGTCACAGACACTTATCTTTTCTAATTTAATTCGATTCTAATTTAAAATAATCTTGTCGGTTAACGGTTAACGACATCGGTTGCCGGTTAGGAAAAATAACCGAAATGAACATCCCTACTGAGGCCTTGAGCTTCATATGGCTCTTCGTTTCCAGAGTGGGCATTCTGCTTCCGGCATGCACTGCTCTGTTTATGGAGTATTTATAGCCTCACACCTACCCGATATTCACACCCTACCCTTTACTGCCAAACCTCTTCCAGAAGAGGTGTGAGACATCAAATATTCCTTCTCCATAAACACAATCTGGCATATGAATCGCCACAACTGGTAACGCGAACTGGTTCACAAACACATGACCATGTTGTGTGAAGAAGGGACCATACCAACTGATTTTTTAATACAGATTATAAGTGTCTTACAACCGATATGCAGAGAATTTTTTTTTTTTTGTTGCCACAATAACTTTATTAGAATACAAAAATAAAAACATATGAACATAATAACAGTAATACTAATCATTTTTACTGTTGTTGTTGCGGTTTAACAATCTGACAAACTGATTATCATCTTCGCTTTCTACTAGGGGTGTAATGGTATGCGTATTTGTACCAGAATTTTCGTTATAGCCTTTTCAAACTAATACAGTATTGTTTTAATGACTGCATGTGCAAATATTCTGTGCATTTAGAAACTTTAAGTTCTCCCCCTTGGATAGGACGTACTATTTATACAGATATACAGTATTTTGATGTGGCAAACACATCTGAAAAATAACGGAGGACACAGAGTGAGCTACTGTAGAAAAGTGCATGATATAAGTTGTCCTAAATATGAGACAAGCTTTATATTAATTAGGGATGGGCATTTTTCAAAAATATTTTATTTGAATATTTGGGCTCATAAAAAAATGAATATTTGAATATTTGTTTATTTAAATGACACTTAATGAGAAAGACGTTATTTTTGTCACCTTTTCTGAAAAAGCTTATGATTCGACATTATACACAATGTTACGTTATATTTATATAAGCAGACCATGCAAATTACAGCACAGAACATACATACACTAGAGTCGGACTATGTTTATCGTGTTTATAATAACATCCACATGCTCGGGTGAAAGTTGGCTCTTCAGTCTGATAACAATGGACCCTTTTCACAAGACTGTGATGACGCGTTTAACGGTCATCAGCATCGTAAATCCTCAATTTTTCATATTTGTATTTTTTTTTAAATGTATCTACATTTATAACACTATTCTTTGTATTATATCACCTTTGCATCAAATTACAAAAAAACAGTTAACGCTAATGCGAGGGTGTTTCTAATGTAGCGTCTATGGGAGAAATGGTTATCAGTTTCTCTCCATTTTTTTCCTTTTATTGAAAGTCATGAACACACTATCGTGGAGTTTTTCTTTTGCTATTTGAGCAAATGGGAATGCAAAAAATATATGTGTGGTAATCTCCCATTCACTGCTATTCAAGTGAACCCAACTATGACGACTTCCGCTGCTGAGAAACCCGGAAATGTGAAAAAGATCCATAAGAACGCACGCCGACACAGGCATTCCAGAGAGACACAAAGATAATGTGTGCTAGGACTGGGCAATATGACGATATTATCGTATATAGACGATGTCTCGTAAGTTTCGCAATGTCGATGTCAATAGTCAGGTAACAGACGATTATCGACATTATCGGGAAAAAATGACATGATAAACCTAGCAAGTTGTAAAAAAAATATTTTACATAGCCCCATAGTCACCATACAGGTCTTTTTGCATGCAAGAATGAAATAATTTAGTAGGAGGGTTGGGCATCGAAAAGCTATTCCAATTTCGGAAATCAGATCAGATGCATAAGGTCAGGAATCAAATTACTTGTTATAAAATTATAAATTTCAATTCTGCTTCTCGATTTCTGTATGCGCTTTTATTGTGATTTAAAAAGATTCAACTGCAAGAAGACGAAATAGAACTCACTTCTGCACTCGTGCGCTGTTTTCTGTGCTGCACACACACACAAAACGCACGCACAAAAGCCACCTCTTATATACGCGAACACTGGACTGAGCTCTCTTTCTCGCATTCTTACACATTCGAATGGACAAATACACACAGAATTATATCAAAATATCCCATAAATACAATCGGTTATGTCTTAAGTGAACGTAAAGAGCTGAGAAAGAAAACAAGGCTGTATTGGATCCGTGCATTGACAGCAGCCGCTGCCGCCAGTCATTAATGTTAATTTTAAGAACGAACGAAAAGAAAATCCCTCACTGATCTTGACTGAATCACTTTTGTAACCTCAGTTTATATTTTATTTGCCTGTTGTTTGACGCTGACTACTGTAATGGCAACGTGCATCTGTGTATGCGATTATTTTGGAGTTTTGTTGCAAATGAATTAAGAATTTATAGTCCTATATAGCTTAATTAAACATAATTATATTGTATACACGGTATAAAAAAATCTGTAAAAATATTGCACTGAAATGTGCGCTGATAGTGCGTATTTTAATTATACCTGTCATGTTTGT